TTTCTTCTTTATTAATTCCTTTACTAATTAAATAGTCGACAACTTTTCCAATAATATAAGATTTACCAACACCCGAACCTCCGATAAAGCCAAAAATAAATGGTCCTTCTTTCCTTTTCATCTCAATTCTAAATTGGTAATTTAGATCAATCTTTGGATATTCTGTTCTTATCTTTCTCATAACTCTTTGCACCATGTCTTTATACGCATTTTCAATTTTATCATGTTTTCTCTTCTTTGAATTAACTAAATTATCAAAATACTCTTGTTTCAATTCTCCGATTTTATTGGTTAATTTTAATTTATAGTTTTCAGATATTTTAAATCTATCATAAAATTCTTCCAATGTTGTAATTTTCAAATCCTTATCTTTTTCTAACAAGAACTTTTCACATTTATTCAAATAATAAATATAGATATTTGACCCCTGTTTTGAACTATTAAAATGTTCAAGACGTTTAATATCAGGATCTAAATATTCTATTTTTTTAATCGCCGCATTTGTTAAATTTTTTAAACTTCCTTTTTCAAATTCGATAAATTTATAAAAAAATCCAACATTATCAGTTATGTTAACATCAACATCAAATAAAGCAAGAATATATTTTGATGATTTTGGTGATTCTTCAACATCAGATAAATTAATATCAATCTCTCCGTTTTGATTTAAATTAGACATTTTATTTATATCAAATTCAATTAGTGAAAAATAGCAAAAAATATCAAATATTTATAAAAAAAATCAATTATTAATTTCTATCAAATTCATTAATCAATAAGGAGAAAAACCATTCTTTTTCTTATCAATTCTAATAACATGAGACTCTAATTTTTTATATTCAATTTGCATACCATTAAAATTAAATGATACCCCTTCAGCATTTGTCGCTTCCATAGTTAAAAAATTAAAAGTATTTGTATCATTAGTAATATGCTTACGATTAATATTGTAAAGACATTGAAATAAATTATCAATTGTGCATAAAAATATTCTAGGATGAGAATTTTTAAAAATTTGACATTCACTACTATATTGAATACCTGAATTTGTTAAAAAAATACCATAAAAATCGCTATTTTTATAACGTGTTTCAAAAGCACCAACAAACTCACGAATTTGAGAAACATTAATAGAAACAACTTTTTTCTCAGAAATATAATGATATTTTAATTGAAACACAACATTTATCTTATCAAATGTTGTTGTGATATCAAAACCATTATCAGGAACTTTAGTAATAGATGTTGTACACCCGATATGTACAAGAAAATTTCTGACATTATTTTCAAATTTTTTTCCTCTATCTCTAGGACTCAACTAAAAAATTAATAAAAAATAATAATAAATAACAGTTCCCTCATCACATCACTCTAACATAAAACCATAAGTGATTTATTATGTTAAATATCATTATTATTTATAATATATCTATCTCATAAGTGAGATTTAAGATATAACAGT